TGTAACTATTAATGGCTCTGATTGATTTATATAATTCAATTTATTTGCATTTTAAGTCTTTCCTCTTTCTTTCTGTTGTTGTTGCTGTATTTTCATATTATATTATTAAGCAGTGAATTGAATTATAAAAATTAAAATATATAATTATAATTAAATAATAGTTCATATTTTATTTTCTGTGTTAATATTTACACAATAGCTATGTTTTTATTTATTTATTTATTTTCTGCCTTCCTTCTCCTCTCCCATTACTGCATTTAAATTCTGTTCATGAAAAATGCCTGTTCTTCAAATCAGTTCTCTCTCTAAAAAATCAGATTCTGTAAAAACATGAACCCAGGATGACTAATCCATATAAAACCGCTGGTGCAGAAGCCATTCCAGTGACGTTCCCCATGTGTCACAGTGAGATTCAGGGCATGGGAATGCCTATCGAGAGTATCTGGCTGGAAGTGATTACACAACACACACCACAGATTCAGAAAAAAGGGCATTCTTTGCCCCGTGGCCAGTTTCCCAAAGTTCAGTAAGAGCAGGGGGCCTTCCTTGACCCATGGCTGTCTTGCTTTCCCTCCGATATAGCACGAGTTTATGCCCCATTCCCATCTCTGTGGCTTTTCCCCACAGCTCCACCTGAAAGCAGCCAAGGGCTTCTCATCCCGCAGGGTGTATTTCGCTCCCATCCATGGATATTTGCAAGGCCCTTGCACAAAGCTGGCATCATCCAGAGCCCCTCCTGTAATGTTTCCCGCGTTTCGGGGGCTCTTTTCAGAGCAGGCAAAGCCCGCCATTGCTTGGGTGCCGCCATTGTTCTCCGTAGTGGGCCAGAGGGGCTTTTTGAGGGGGGAGGAGGTCTTCTGCAATTCTCGTCTGTGCCACCTGGTGTTGCGTCGTGGATGACATAGGAAGTCAGAGAGGGAGGGGCGAAGCTTTGTGTGAGGGACCCTCTACTTCTGCAACAAAAATAGAACACCCCTTGATGAGCACCAGAGTAGAATTTGGATGTGCAGCAGCCCCAGGGCAGCTCAGGGTCCACCCTTTGCGTGGAAAGGCAAACGCTAGCAATGGCTTATGCTGCTTTTGCAAGTGACCCCTTCCCCCCAGGAGACCCCTGCCCTGGACTCCTGAAGGAGAGAGTCCGGATTCTCCCTGGAGACCCTTCAGCACTATGACCAAACGGGATCATTTTTCAGGATCATTTGCAGAAAGCCAAGGAAGCAGCTTTTGCAGACCCAATTCCCTTTTGTATAACCAATCCATGTGATGATAAAAAGTTATTGATTACGCCTTCCTGCAGTGTGCCTTCACTTCCGGAATAAGGCATGCTCTCCAGACGCTGAGGGACTGCTTTGACTGAGCCCTACAACAGGCTGTGAGAACGTCCTATATTCTCAAGTTGACCTTCGGTGGGACACTAAACCTCAACTTGGATTCTAGGACATTGCAATAAAGAGAACATTGAGGAGCACCAAGCCCTTAATCAGCCATGAGCCGAAGAGACAGCACTTTCCTAGCTGCTATTTACACAGCCACGCGGGGTGTCTCTGCAAAATACATGGAAGAATTGGCTGTGTTTTAATGGTGCTTCAGTTTCTTTCCATTTGATGTTTCTCAGGAAAATTTCCTAGTGGACTGAGCACCACAGACCTAGTTATAACTCTGTTATGTCTAACAAACAAGTCCGTGATTCACCAGATAGAATTAAGAGTGTGGGGAGAGAAGTGGGTTTTTTTTTTTTACATGGGAGAGACAGATGTATAATCCATAGCAATTTGACATACATAACCATAATAACATACTTGCATTCACCAGCGCTATTGAGAGTTTTCCAATTTTTGGAGGGTGGTTACATTGATATAACTGATTTCTCTTTTGATCTGCATTTCCATTTATGACTGCAGGACTTTACTCTGAACTTATGATTAAATTGCAACAATATTTTCATATGGAATAACAGCAGTAGTTAACAATAATAAACATCCAATTAATGGATTTATCTGTCCACATAAAGAGCAGGTTTCCAAGCATTTAACATGCAGGTCAAGATCATTAAAGTGATCTTGACTTTATCTATTAAAATAAATAATATTTTAAGGAATGGGTTGTAATTATTTTTAAATTAGAGGTTTGCTATCAATATTTGCTAAATCCCTGTGGGTCTTAAGTAGTACACAAATCCTGTTAAACTCTTGAGTCAAATTTAAGTAGTACTTTCTCTCTCCAGTAGTTCTCTCTCGCACATTAACAAATGACACTTGGCATTTTAAAAATAGTGCCTTCATTTTGTGTGTGTTCATGTCTGTCTGGAACGATCTTCCTGCCAGGAATCAAAGAGATCTCAGCTCAGTTTGTTGCCACCATTAAAGGTCTCTCCTTCTGCCACTGGAGATCGTCCTTGTTGCCCCGGCCTGGATCGAAACCAGGGAAAGCGTGCAAAGCGGCCTTTCACAGGAAAACGAGGCAAGTCTCACAGGACCATAAAAACAGGCAGAGCTGTTGCAGCACGGACCGGTGTGTCAGGAAAGTCTGACCCGCCATGAATCCATCACGGTATTTTCAAACATACCTACAAATAGGGAAGCACCTGCTCTGCAGTCGGCTGAGCTGGGTTTCCCTCCCTGTACACCTTTGCTCTTTAAGTGATGGGTGCATTTACCTCCAAATTCAGCACTGGTTCTATTTATTTATTTTTGTTTAGTTATTCAGCTTATATTCCACTATACTACTCTGAAGTCTCGCTAAACGGATTACAATATTGCAAAAGAGGTTTCTGCTTCCTCTTTGCTCCCCATTTTTTTTGGTGACACTTAAAGTTTTGCTTGTGTAAATATTTGTTCGGTGCTATAATAAAATTTTAAAGAGAGATCGACATCCATGTACATAGCTAATGAGTGTGGTTATCAGCCCCATTAGCTGCAAACAGGAAAAATGGGTTTCCCCTGAGTTTCGTGCTGAAGAGGTTTCATATCTGGTCTCCACGGACCAAGCGAAATGTGTTCACCCATCATGCTGTGTGTGCGTCTGGATGCACCTTTAATCATTCGGGGGAATAACAGATGTTACCGCTGAAATAGGGTAGATGTGGTTTGAACACATCTCCCCCCCACGAAGCAATTCAAATCTTCTTGGTCATGCTGTTGTGACATCCGCCTGCAGCCTCGTGGGAATTTTTGCTGCTCTTGTTGCAGCAAGATTAGCACCACCGTGGAATTTCTCCCTGATGAAGTCACGTGCGCTTGTACGGGCCTTTCCAGAGCAGCCAGAATGGACTAGGTTTGCTTGAACTGGTACCCTGCAGGAAAATAAACAGAAATTTAATGAAAACCACCGTACCTGGTATTTTTATATCTGAGTTGGAAGTTGCATGGACAGCCCAGTGCCCGGATTCCTATGAGATGCTCACGTAGGCACAGTGGGAGGGAGGGAGGGCCTCGTTCCCCTTCGGGGGGGGGGGGGCATGCACTTCGGCAGGTGGGGAAGCAGCGCCGTCGTCTTCTAGCTCTCACATTCAGAGTCCGCATAGCCTTGCCACTGGCAGCGCAAGGTCCCTCGATCTGGTTGGCGGTGTGTCACTTGATTTAACATTTCGATTTTTCTCTCCCACTATTTCTTTCTCCTTCTGCTCTGCTCGACTGCACTCCTTTATGCCTTCCCTTTAATTCACCTTACATATATATTACTTTGTTCAGCGTGCCGTGCTCTCTTTCTTTTTTATTAACTTTCTATTCTCCTTAAACCCTTTATTCTTCAATGCATTGTTTCAGGTTTGGTAGCCGAAGCATTTTGGGCACTTTATCTCCTCCACAGGCATGCACTCCATCACACGCCTTTTCCGAGTCACTGTCTCTGTTATCAACATCTTTGGTTGCCCTCCCCTTGGCAACTTTCAGATGTCCACCAAAGCTGAGCCCCTGGTGGACATCTGAATGACATCCCAAGTAGAGAACACAGTGACTTGCTTTGCCCACATCCTGGGCAAAGAACATCCCCATTCTGGGCAGGAGGAAGCCACTGAAAGGAGAGTCCAGCCTGTGCAACGGTAAGGTGGCGGGTACGTCCCATGGACAGCTTTAAGGACCTATCCGCCAAAAGGCTTTGGGCAGCTCTTCCAGTTTGTTTGACAGGTAATTTGTGCATTGGTGAAACAGATGAAGCAGAGGCGGTTGCAATGAAAGCCTCATCCCAATGGGGGGAACACAAAACATCACTGCAACATTTCAGGAGCAATTAAGAAATGAGGGCACTGGATACACGAATGTGTAACGAAACCTGCAACCAGTCATGGAGCAGGCCTCAGCGAGCGCAGTGGAGCCTGGGTTGGGACAGACATGTATCAGATCGTGCTGCTACAAAGGCCTACAATGCCCAGCCCGCTGATGGTGCTTTAGTTCCGTGATTCTGTGATTCTGTGATGGCATTTGCAACAAGGAACACCCCCCACCCGGCACACAGATCAAATGCCCTCGCCTGCGGAGCACAACGGTCATTTTCTGGCGAGAACAGTGCAGCTACTGGGTGAGAAAACTGCAGTAGATTCCTCGCAGAGGAACGTCTTCATGTGCTCAGGTGTTTGCACAGGAATGCTCGCCCCTTTAGGACTACAAATGGTGTCTTGCCTGCGTGGAACCACGCCCTGTCAGCTGCCCCTTGGGGCCCTTCTTCCGAGGCACAACACTTGTGAATGGGGGAAGACCCCCTGTTTGGCTGCCAACATGTGAGGCGGTGGCTTTCTCTTGAAATGCCTTCGGAGCTCAAAATTAGCTTAATTGCATGAAGGAAAACCTTGCCAATTACTCGGGGTAGATGCTTGCAGAAAACTGAATCGATAACAGCAAGGTCTGTGCTTGTGTAAAGCACTTTAACGAAATGAATAAACCAATCGGCGAACTGACAGGCAGTCAGAAGTTACTTCAGGCACTCCGCCAATTTCGGAGTGTATTCGCACTCTCCCTCTATCTCTGTCTGTTGCTAGGATATTTGTCAACAGAACAAGAAGTACCCTGGCTCCTGGGAGATACTGAATCTAATATTCATAATTGTCTTGTGAGGAAACAGTGCTTCTGCATTCCACAGGTGAGTCCGCGATGGATGAATTTTCTTTTATATTGAATCTTTCATATCCCGACTGTGTGAAGGTAGCAGCTAAACATTTGCAATTCAATGCTTCTGTTAATAATGTCGATTTTAGCGCACACTGCCTCCGATATTGGAAACCCTTTGAACGGGTGGTGCAGGGGGATTGTGAACAACTCGGCAAGCAATATGAGAAACTTGTCGTGCAGCTCTTGGTACTGCTTGGGCCAAAACAAGTGGGAATCGCAGGCAGCCAGCTGCGTGAATGACATCACTTAACGGTGCCGTGGCAAGGCCTTGCTCGCGGTGCCCTGAGCTGTCTGAGGGCGTCTCCAGTCGGACGCACTGGGCTGTGCCCGAGTAGCTGGACCCGGCGTGGCAGAGCGGGGGTTCCTGCAGAGCTTCCTGTGCTTTCCAGCGTGTCCCCTGCTCTTGGAACTGGGCTGAACTGGGAGGAGCTCATTGCTCAGTGGTTGCTCTTCTTGAAGGCCCCGAGTCCACCCTCCTAACCGGAGTTCATTACGTCTTCCGTAACGCCCCCGGTGCGGAAGAAGACCCCATGGGAAGGCTGTGCAAGGTGCAGACGGCTTCTGCTTCGCTGAGCTATTTCTAATAGAACAGACTTCTCGCTGTGGCTTGTTTCTCTGAAATGCAACATAAAACGAGATGGTGCAGCTTTTTAAGGCTTTTGCATACATCACTCTGCATTGGGAGAAAGCCCATTTTAAACCAAGGAATGGAAAATGATGATGCTCATAATCAGTATTCGAGGAATAACTCATTTTTGCGAAGAGAAGACTGCCATTTCAGCTCCATTTGGGTTGCACTTCAAGACTGCATAAAGCGGGGGTATAATTTGAGACTTCAGTAGGAAGGAGCAGAGAGATTTAGACAGAGAGTAAGAGAGAGGCCTGATCCGCTCACAACAGATAAGATCAGAATCAGGATCCAGTTTCGAGTGCCGCTGGCTTCCACAGTGGCCAAGCAGGCTCTTCTGGGAAATTTGTAGCTAGGATGGGAATGCACCAGATTCCCAACTCTGCTCTCCAGAAGAAACATAGAAACAGAGCGAGTCAGAAGGGGTCTCCCAGGCCATCTAGTCTGACCCCCGGCTCCAGCCGGCTCCGCTCAGGACATGCCCACCATGTGGACGTCCAGCCTGTCCTTGAACACCCTCAACGATGGGGCCTCAACCACCTCCCGTGGGAGCCCATTCCACACCCTCAGGGTCCCGACTGTCAGGAAGTGCTTCCTGGCATCCAAATGGAACCTGGGTTCCCTGAGCTTTCCCCGTTGGAGCGCGTCCTGCCTTCCTCTGCAGGAGAGAACAGGTCTCTACCACCTCCGTGTGACACCCCCTCACATACCTGTATGTCACCAGCATATCCCCTCAGAGTCTCCTCTTCTCCAGGCTGAAGAGACCCAGTTCCCTCCGTCTCGCCTCATACAGCTTTCCCTGCAAACTGGCCACCAGCCTTGAGGCCCCGCGCTGCACGGACTCCAACCTGGCTAGATTTTTCAGTACGGTGCTCAGATCTGAACTTTAAATCACTCTAAATGCAGAATGTGTCGTCTCTGATGCTACAAGAGCAAAAGGCAAGAGGAACACAGAGGAAGAGCGCTCAGGGTGGCATCACAGGGCTAGAGGTTTGATCTGGCCCATCCCTTGGCCAGCGGTGGCACCTCGGCTGCCGTGTGGGGCGGCTTCAATGCCAGAACCGGACAGTGGAAGCGCCTCCACCCCCCCCCCCAAGTTGCAGCACCGTGTCACACTCAGTGCTGGCGCAGTGGTGTCAGTGCAGGAAAAGGCGCCTCGGAGCAAGCCGGGGCCTCAGCATGCCTGGCATGCACACAGACCCATTTAAGCTGCAATCCTGTGCATGTGCAGAGAGCAAAAAAGTCCCCCACAACCCAGCCTGGCTGGCCAGCATGCACAGGACTGCTGTTCTCATTGGTCATCACAGCTACTGCTCTGTGTAGCTCCAGGCACTCTGCCCAGAGACAGAGTTTTCCCCGGAAGAGGGGCTGGGATATACGACCTTCCTGGAGGGCGTTTCTGCTGCAAAGGAAAAAAATGATGGTTCAGTTTTATTTCTGGTACTGGGCTGTTTGCAGAAAATAAATCCACGATTCTTTCCCCGTGAGGAGCAAATCTAACTTTCTTTTGTTTTGCCATTGCAGGTTTCTTTTCCTTCTGTAGGAGTCTGGAAACTGGATAAAGATGGGAAAGGACTGGGAAAGGAACCTCAGCGGCTGCCAGGACCCTAAACTTACATGTGTACGCATTCCCCTATCTGCTCAGAACTCCCCTTTGATGAAGGTAACCGAGAGGGATTGATTAATTGGTTATTCACAACTAATTATGCAATGCACTTCATGCAGACAGTCCTTGAAGCTGCCTGACCACTCACCGTCTTTTCAGCCAGCCCCTCCGTCTGCTTTCTTTTTTCATCCACTGTTACAGCAACTGTTACAGTAAATATTTTAAAGAAATAACAGTTGTGCCTCCAGCCTCACAAACGCACTTTCACTCAAAAATCACCCCCTGCTAGGGATACGCGGCCTTTGAAAGTCTGTTCTGTCCACGTTTTGTGGATTTTCAGGTGCTTCGTGCTTCTCAAATTCACATCCCCATGAGCATTTTCACGCCTTAGTCAAAAGTGGGAAAATGTGCATTTTCCTGATTTTTTTTATTTTTCATGTTCTAAATTTGTGGAAAAGTTAAAAAAGAGGTCTGCAGGTCTGCAAGATCTGTGTGACTTGGGAAAAGCCTGTTCATAAAATGGGTAGCTCGGATTCACTGAAACCTGAACTCATTTGATTCCACCGGAGACTCCGCCAACATCCCTCCCCTAAAGTCTGCTGAAACCACACTGGCTGCACCTCTTGACAAAGCTGATAAATGCTGCAGTCCTGCTTGTTTTACATCTCAAATATTTCTGCCCGCGTGATTTACTTGCCTTTGTCAAGGACAAAAACAGGAGCAAAGGAAATCCAAGGTCACCCCAAACTCAGGCCTTTCGTTCAGCCTGCGAGTCATGTGGGGCACTGTTTGCCAACTTGCCATTTATGACTAATTCAGGCCTTGTTCTGACAGGATCTGAAGAGAGGCCAGAAATGCTACTTTTACAGCATTATGAAAATATACGACAGCAAAGCACCGAGGGAAATGTTGCACCGCCGGTATGCGATCAATCTGCAGTGCCAGAATGTGCTGGGTGAGTGTCAGTCAATATAGGCTCTTGCATCAGCAGCCCAGAGAAATTGGAGAGCAGCAGAGAAGAGCCAGGGGCTCGAGGCGATTACGAGGCGAGGTTTATGGGCCATGAAGCTACATCAGACACACACCCGGCGCACTCCGTGCTTTATAGGCAGAGTTCGGCAGCCTTCAGCCAAAAGCCTTTGTCGCTCTCAGCAGGGCAGCGGGAAAACTAGGCGGAGAAATGATGTGGGTCCAGAGTTATTTATGCTCTCCTCATCCGCCGGGCTGTTTATCTTCAGCTCCCATCCCCAGAAATGATGCAAACACAGAGCAGCAACCGAAAGATAAATGCTTTCGAATAAACGCTTAACTCTCACAGCTGCCTTTAAAAAATATCACCCCACGACTTCTGCCAAAGTCGTGTTATCGGGGAGGTGTTCTTCCGAGTATTGTCCCATGCTCCGGCTGCAAAACTAAGCGCAAGGGGTCTCTGGGCTGGCAGCAGTCTGGAGCACATGAATGAAAGCGAGGGCTGTCATTCAAGCGAAGGTTTCCCAACCCCCTTGCAGACATAGAAACATAGAAAAAGAGCGGGTCAGACGGGGCCTCCCGGGCCATCTAGTCTGACCCCCGGCTCCAGCCGGCTCCGCTCACAACATGCCTACCATGTGGACGTCCAGCCTATCTTTGAACACCCGCACCGATGGGGCCTCAACCACCTCCTGGGGAAGCCCATTCCACACCCTCGGGGTCCTGACTGTCAGGAAGTGCTTCTGGCATCCAAATGGAACCTGGGTTCCCTGAGCTTGGCTCCCTTGGAGCGCATCCTGCCTTCCTCTGCAGGGGAGAACAGGTCTCTGCCCACCTCCGTGTGACATCGCCTCTCATACCTGTCTGTCGGCAAAGCATTTGTGAAGCATTTTTCCAGCAGGCTTTTCATGATCAAGGCAGGGTGGAGTGCTCTCCACATTCAGGCATGAAATGGTCCAAGTTTTTCATCCCACAAAAGACCCCAGGTTAAGCCCAGTCTCTGGCTCTCCCAGCTAGGAAACTGGTCAGCCCAGCCAGCACGGAGCGAGAGGCCTGCTTGGGCCAGGACGGCAACCCGTGGCCACACTGCCCTGGGCGTGGGCATCTCCATCGCGAAATACGCGGAGGTTTGGACGTGGCTCTGCACCGGCCGCTGAGTGCAGGGGGCACCTGGGTGCTGTAAGGAGGCGCTTGAGCCCCGAGGCAGAAACCCTTCTTCCCCTGGGGAGTTGCAAAGGGGGAGCCTGGCGCCTCCTGAATCTGCAGATTGGCCCACCCCTTTCTGCGCTGCAGGCCCTGCCAGTTCCATGCTGGAGAGAGCCAGGGACACAGCCGGCTCTTCCGCCGAGCGCCAGCCTCTCTGCGGAGGGGCCTGGACACAAGCCGCGCGTGGGCGGAACAGACGCGCTCAGCCCTGGGGGTCACGCTCCGGCGCTGCGTCTTGCCGAAGGGCAGTGCCAGGCGGGCGGCTGGCCGTGCAAAGCTGGCCGGAGAGCTTGTTTCTCAAATGCCCTTCCTGGCACAGAGCTTTGGAAAGTAGGCCTGTCGCTCTCCAGGAGCCAAGCCATGCCAGGGCGGTTGTTTCTGTAATTTAGAGAGAAAGTGCCAGAACTAAGAGGAGGCTGAGGGAGAGGGAGGCATTTGTCTCACAATTAAGGCAGCCCGAAGCAGGCCTCTCTCATCTTTCACTCCCGCAATCATAGCAAACCGTGTCACATCGCCACAGGGTAACGGTTGCCAGCAGAAGGCTCACAAGCCCCTCTTGCAATTACAGTTGTTATTTTCTGACTCCACCATCCATGCATGGCAGGGAGCCCTTTTCACGCCATCAACTTTTATGGCCTTTGCGGCTCACGCTGACTAACGCGACAGCACCATCCTGGTGGCTGAGCAATCCCAGACCCCTTTCCTTCGCCACCGCAAGTAGCAAGCGCCTGCTAAGAGAGGCACTCATCTCCCCACTGTGCCCCCCCTTGATGAGATGGAGCTGTGCGCCTCTGACGCTCCGTGACCCCTTTTAAACATTTTTAAGGGCTCATCACAAAGCAGCAACTCCAGTGTTACGCCTCCTCCCTGAATGGTGCAAAATGCTTCCGAGGGCCAGGACTGAGAAAGGCACCCCGCTCCCTCGGACACAGGCCACGAGAGGGCACGGCCAGGCTCTCTGGTTAAATATGAATCAAGAAGCCCGCAAGCACTCTCTCGGGAAGAAGGAAAGATGAATGGCTTTTCCTCCTCTGTGAGAATTGGACACTTAAGTCGTCTTTTCCATCTGTCTCACTTCGCAAAATGCAGGGAACGCATCTGCAAGGCAGGAGAGGTGCTTACAAAGGGGGTGGCTTGGATCCTTTGCTTCAATTTTTTAAAAAGTGCTCTGATTTCCTGCAACTTAATATGCTCTTTATGGAACCAGATACTGGAAATCTCACAGAAATTGCCATTTTGCGGGGGGGGGGGGTTGCATGGAGGAGAAATGGACAGTTTTGGCAATGAAAAACATGCTACATAGAGAGGGAAGATACATAAGGGTGAATAAACAGATCAAAGCAGCCGAGTCTGACCAGAGGCCAAGGCGAGGACAATGGCCACTACCAAGAACACAAAAAGAAACATATCTATAAACACTGTGCCTGGAAACCTGTTTGAATTAAATGAAAATGGTGATTCCTACGAGAATTCCTGCTATTCGCCATGATTTCGCAAGAGCAAGAATCTTGGTCTTTATATCTGCAGTGACATCTCTAAACTTGTGTGATAAAGATGAAGACAAGAAGGGCAGCCCTCTTGTAGGAATAACAAATATGGACTGAACACTCCAAGTGGTAGCAGAAGGTAGACTGACTTCTTATTGCAAGTCCAATATGGGATTTCATATGTATTTGTCAAATTAAAATTTGCATGCATTAAAATGATGTATATGAAGATGGTGACTAAGTTTGGCCCTGATTCCTTTCTTTTCCCAGCCCCAGTATTTAAAATACCCAATGGAGAATATGACAAACACAAATATAATTAATATTTTGTTTGTGACTATAATAACTGGTCGAGCTTTTCCCATTTTGTTCTTTGGCAAATGAGGTATTCATGTAGGTTGTTTTGCTTTCTTTGTGGTCCATTTATCCAGTTCTGTGAAGTGGGTGCTACTGAGTTTCATGCACTGTAAATAAGGATAATTGAGCAATTCTGACTTCGTGTTGTGTGTGAATGCCCCTTCCCCCAAACCTTGTTTCCAAATATCTGAAACTCTATTAGACCACCCTGGAGTTTTCCTTCAGCCTCTGGGAGACCTTTTCCCTTTCCTTGCTGTCCCGGTTGCATCATTACAACCAAGCCCGTGTCGGCTAATTGTGTGGCACTTCCATTTTCCTGAAAGGAAAGGTTAGTTGTTTCCACAAGGCTAAAACCCTGTAAGAGATACGTAGGTCACCAGAGAAATTGCATGACTGTGGCACCCAGTTCCCAAACACATAAAGGGGAGCGTGCGGATTTTCTGGCTTGATCTGCCTCCTTCCAGGGCCCAGTTCATCTCCTCGCTCCCTGTGCTTCTCCTTGGACCACACGCCTTGTTCACCTCACTAGCTTCCCTCATTTGCCGGCCTGGATCAGAGGCTGGGTCCAGTTGTTGGTACACAGAATTGTGCTGCTGAGCATGACTTCTCTGCTGCCCCTCCAGCCACCTGAAAACATTACATCTGGGGACCTAGCTGAGTGGGGTGAGCGGAGAGGGGACGGGGACGTGTCTCCCGACCGAATCCCTTCTGCCCATGGAGAGCAGGTCCTGGTAGGTTCCAAGTCCCAATACTGTTCTGGCAAAGTACCTGCCAAAGGCTGGCCAGGTTCACAATGGCCCGTTCCTGCCAGTCGCACGAGGCACAATACGGACGGCCGAGCTGTCACTTGGCCCCAGATTTCAACACACCCTCCTTCCCATCCCTGCCCTACAGCGAGAGCAACAAAGCCATGCCTCATTCATACGTTGTCTACGTGGACAATTTGCTTCTGGCTACTACTGTGGGATCGTCCACAAATCCAAAGTCAAACTGGCACAGGTTCCCTGTGTGGGAAATTCATATGAATCAAACTGCCCTTCGCTATCAGGTAACAACCAACAAGCTTCTAGTATTTTCTGGCTGGGTTCAGACAACATGACAAGCCATGATGGGGTTCCTTTACCATTGTTGGTCTGAACCTAGTTGTGGTATTTCACCATGGCAAGTTTGGTCTTTAGAAACCACAGAAAGAAACAATGGTTTATCCTATGGTTTCTCTGTACCACCATGGCTTGCTGTGCTGCCTGCACCCAGGATCATGGTTGCCACAGTCCTGGTAAGCAACTATCACAGAGTCCCCTGGAAAGAGAGGCACCTGCAGAAGCCACTCTAGCCACCCAGCCTCTATGTGCAGACTGATGTGGAAGAGGCAGGTGACAGTGATGCACCTTGGGATTGATTTTCGGGTGTGGTGGTTGATGGAATGCCTGCCAACAGCAAGAGGGTTGAATGGGAAGGTGGAGATCATGTCTATGAAAGTGAAAGGGAATTTAGTGGACGTTACTTCTGAGTAGACACGTACAACACTGAAGTGCTGCAGTATTATCTGCACCTACTTGGTAATAAGCTGAATAAATGCATTATTTATTTTAAAATGTACAGCTTGATTTTCAAATATTTCAGGTCTGAAAGTGGTTAATAACAAAGTCAGCTCATAAAAACACAATAGAACCATTTAAAATGTAGAGTGTGCCAATCTAGCAAAATACAAAAGGGGAAAATTAAAACAACGGCTGTATGTATTAACCTACATTGTGGTTGGCTTGTTGATAAGTCCTTAGCCATTCCTGAGGAGATATTTGAAAAGAATGGAAACAATTACATAGGAAAGAGAATTACACTGAAGTTTTTCATGGTCTTATAGCATTTATCTTTTTTTAAAAAACTCAGATCAATGAAGCATTCTTTAGGCGCCAGAAAGAGAAGGATGAAACAGGTAGAAACATGACCTTGATTCAAAGAAAAACACAACTAGGCTCAAGGGAAGCTCTGAACTTTGCTTCCAGGGTGGCATCTTCTCCTGCCGGATGGCAAAGTCCTGATGAAATGGAGTGGAAATTTTGTGAGGGGCAGCTGCTATTCAGTGTGGGGAGGGATAATATGTACCCTGTGTCCATCCAAAGCTTTGATTGCTGCTGAAGTAGCTCTTTGGAGATCAGCCGATTGCTCAACAACAAGTTTTGCATCTCCTGCAACGATCCTTTGGACTCAACCCGTCAAAAATGGGCTGTGCTAAATTGTGCATTTTACAACCTGATTCATACACGAGCCACTGAAGTCACAGTACCTGGGCGGAATTAATTGTTCATATGCACTTTGGGGGAACTGTATCAGCTACAATCCAAATGCCCTGCCTGGCTCACAGTATGAATCAGGCTGCTGATTAATATGGGGAAAACATAGAGCAAACTAATGGAAGCTAATTGAAGGTGATGCGAATATAGACCTAGACGGAGTGCAGTTGAAATGCAAACAGTAATGAGGGACGCATCTGACTTAACAAGACAATATTCCAGAACAAAGACAAGAACATAACATCGTTCCTAATTACATAAGCATCTTAATGTTGCTACAAATGAACTTCCTTTGTTTCCAGTGTTTCTGAAGAGCTAACTAGCCAAGCCAGGTTGGCAGAATTCATCCTTTCCTGTCTCTGTCTGTCTGTCTCACTTTTTTTCTAGTCGCCTTTCATTTTTGTTCTCACCACTTCACCCTGAATACAAATTGTGAGGCGCTTGGAAGTTCTTGTCCCCATTCTCCTAAGCATGTTGAATGGAAGCACTCCACACCGACAGTTGAAACTATCGCGAAGGCACGCTTCCCAAAGGATCGGCATTTGGCCCTGCGGCCAAAGTTATCTCTTGTTGCTGAAGTTAGGGGGTAGGACCCGATTCCTTATTTGCACACAAGTTCCAAACACAGCTGAACCTTAATCAATGAACTTGATGAGGACCTCAAGTTGATATACCGTTGGGCTCCAGAACACAATCTGAGCTATCTCCATGACTGGTGTGTCAAAATCCACAAAAATTTAATCTCCGATCAAAATTGCCATTTTTGACAATGTTAATTAATGGATGATGACTCCAGATGACAAATGAAGGGTGCCCTCCACCATGTTTTTTCAGCCACTCAAATGCACCTCCAAGGATGTGCGCTTGAAGGTGTTGTTGAGTTGGCCAAGCAGCTCCTTTGCGTGGAAGGCCCTACCAGGGTTGATCACACCACAAATGGCAGCCCAAATATGCAGGGCAAAGTAAGGAATTGCGTGCGTGCATCCTCCAATACGTTTTGGGCCACATTAATCTCTCCAGGAGGGTGGAATGGCTCTGAACGACTCACGTGCAGCCCAGTGCTCTGTTCGGGTACAGGACAGTGTTAAATTCAGTTGGAAGGCAGTTACACAGCAACCACAACTGGCTCTATTTTCAGAACACAAATGCAACTTCACTCTCCTGCTCCGGTGTTCCCAGGAATGCTGCCTTTGATACCTCCAGGATGTGACCTTCTCATCCATGGATTGGCTCGATCCCCTCTTAAAGCCACTCAGATGGGTGATGATCACTACATTTCGTGGAAATGAATTTGGTTGTTTATGAGCTTTAACAACTGGTTGGAACCGCTCAACCAGTGATGCCTCGTCACGGGCATCCAGTGACCAATGCGGGGATGGGCGAGCAACATGCTTGCTCTCCGAATGGCCTTCCCGGGGGATGTGGCTGGTTGGAACTGGACCTGATGCAACCCAGCAGTCTTCCGCTTCCCTTTGCTGTATTCTGCTTCTCATCAGATTCTTCTCACATCTCAGAATATACATGTGATTGGAGCTCATTTAACAGAGCAAGCGCTTTCTGTGCCCTGCCAACTGTTTTCTCTGAGAAACAGAAGGGAATTGTTTTATTTTGAAGCCCTTAGATGTGCTAAGCCGAGAACAGGGACGTTATGAACACATCAGAATCTGCCTGGCTGTGCAGAGGAAGTCTCTCGTCAGCACTCAGCCAACGAGGAAATGAATGATTTAAGATGCTGCAGGAATAAACTCTGACTTCTCAGAAGTTATCAAAAGCAGCAACAGATGAGACAATTAAAGCAAATGATGGAAGAAGACAGAGATAAAACTACTGAGCTCAGTTCAGTGAGGCGAGGCTTAGGCAGGAAAGGGGCTTACTGGGTTTGGGGAGGAAAAGAGTCCTTCGATTTAAATGAGAATACAGGTCTCCTTAGGCCAAAGGTTTAAGCCAAATTTCACAGGCTCAAGGCACAGCTCAGGTTGGACTTCAGGGGCTCCCAGCATAGAGACACCCCAAAATGACTCTCAGGGGGTGATGGAGACAGCAGAAGCAGCCTTTGGGCCAGGACGGGCATGCTAGGTCTGACCTGGGGCCCCAGTGCCTGAGCTGCTCACCACAAGCTGCGTCCTTCTGTCTCATTTGATATCCTATTAATAATCAAAGGCCAAGTGGTCCAGGATGTACATGGCTGCCATTGCTCATTTCCTCATTTTTCCTTTGAACACACCTTTCCTTTTCTATAGCAAAATGGTGGCGCTCTTACAACAACCCTGCGAGGTAGGTTAGCCTGAGAGTGAGTGCCTGAACTGAAGTCACCCATGGAGAGAAGAGTCCAGACTGCTCAGTGCAACACTCTAACCACTAGGACACACAGCTCTCTAGGGACGGAGGCTGTATGTCCACAGGTGCCAAAGTGGTCCAGGACAAGGAAGATGGCTGGTACACCCAGCCCACTTGCGAGATTTTAGTACGTAAGAGTCCAGCAATTCCAGGAAAGCTCGTAACCGTCCCCACCTCTGCTGTTTCACATGGCTTCATTTTTTAAACTTGTGCAATATAAAAACAAGCAAATCACGCCTTTAAAGAACACAACTGCACCAATTCAACTTTTGCAAAACACGTGAAAAAATTCATAGTGCTAATTAAATATATGTCACATATCTCTCTATGTTATTATAGAAGAGAATGTACTACCTTGATTCAAAATAAATATATGTCATCTTCAACAAAGGTGCCCCAAATATCTACCTTTATCCATTTGCAGATTATAGCTAAGGGCACCTGTTCAAAACCTGAGCGTTTCGTTAACTCCTCCACCCACCGTGTTATTGCAGGGGGAAGTTTATCCTTCCACTGTTGTGATATTAGCCTTTTAGCTGTCAAAAGGGTACAGAAAATCAATTCATATTGATCTTGTGTTACATTCCAAGAGATGGGTTAGTAATTCAGAAGAAACAGGAATTTTTTGCTCCTTGGGGACGTTCTGGTTTCCACGAGCGAAGGAGGCCAGCTAGCCTGGGGAAGGGGCTGGGAAGACGCCCGCCATTGATCCTTCCAACACAAGAAGATGGCGCAGCTGCTGCAATGTGATTGGCCGTAGTCATGAGGCAGGCAACCAATCACCTCAAAGGAGCATTCTCTTGCAGCACGTCCATTAACCCCACAAAAAGGTGCCTCTCAGCACTATTTCATATCGCTTCTTGCCCTCTCTCCCCCTAATTATGTTAACCATCATGGAATAGTACATTGCTAGGGTTGCTGTTGCGGTTGTTATGAGTATTTTCTAACCTGGTGTTGTGTTCAGTTTTGCTGGTACCAAAGAGGAGGAGGAGGAGGAAGAGGAGGAGGAGGAGGAGGAGGAGGTTCTTGCATTCAGGGATGCACTTAATCACATTTGGCTCTAAGAGGACAGCTCTGGAAAGTCCTGGCACAGCTCGTCCTTTGCACAGGATCCCCAAGAAAACACCCTCGTGCCCCATGTGGTGCCCCATAAGCTGAGGGGGGCTGGTTTCCTTATTGCAGAATCTGTGGGTTCATCACCTCCCTGTGTTACTCCTCTGTCGTGTATGAGACAGAAGGCCCACCCTGGTTTTTTGACTCATATGCCTAGTGCATACAAGCAAATTGCTGCGACCCAGGAAGTCCTGTGGTTAAGAGGCGAGATATACATATTTTAAATAAATCAGAATAATGACACACAGATGCATGCACAGGATCCAGAATAGTGAGTTTTCCTGCCACAAATTATGGGACTCATACATTGCAGAGACATAATAGGTGAGTTGACTTCAGCATCTGAGCAAGGACTGCGTATTAATCTTAATGTTAATCATGTCTGTACACGTACACCCCCTCTCTGCATGCCACAAGCTGGCTTCTGCGTTCTGTTAGCCTCCCACAAGTTCTCCTTGCTTTGGAGTTGAAAGAAAGAAAAACAGATTTATAAAGCAGTTCTTCCAGACTCTTTCCATCACACATATAGAAAAAATAATCTAGGGAAATGAACAAAATTGCCAGGGTACACAAAGAAAGCCATTGTGAAAGCAAATAGCATTAAAACGTGATATGAGGCCATCTCAGCTAGCTGCATTAGGCGATCGAGACAAACTGATGACAGAATCTGTAAACACGTTGCTTTGGATTATGAACTGTTTTCATAAATGAAATGCACAGCAGAAGACTGTGAAAATTTCCCAGTGCTGGGAAGATGAGAGAGAAAGTAAGCATTTTTATTCTGAATTACACAGCTTCTTCATACTTTTGGCTTCATTGTCCCCCAACTCATGGAGCTCTTGGGCGACAAGTTGCTAATTCGTGGGAGATCAGCTGGCAGTTTCCTACCCATGACCACAAATTACTCCGTAGATCAGCCTTCCCAGCCAGCCTGCCAGAAGCGCAGCACTAAAACTCGCACCATCCACAAGTTGCGTGCGAGCTGCAGTCGGAGACGTCTGTTGGGAGTTGCCGCTTAAGCGGAGTGAATTGCAGCTCCCTCCTGCTCAGCGGTGCTTGGGTCCTTCCCATGATGCTTCAGGAGAAGCTCTTGCAAATGAGCAGGTTTGGTGATCCCGGCGAGCTGCAGAGAGGGCTGGCCCAGTCAAGGTGCGCGTCTCCAGCGGCTCAAACGGGGCTGATTACACACCGTTGCCACCGAACCTGGAGGCTGGAGAAAGGCGGTGCCCAACGCCCCAACCCAGCAGCCGGACTGAGTGTCAGGTTAGTCTTGAGCAGTTAAGAACAGCTTTTTAAACAGTTATGCACAGTCCTTTTGTCCCAGGTGAGCTTTGACTGAGGACTTGAACCATGGACCATAAGAGAACCGAGGGCTCGGCTTCCTTACTCTTTCGGCATTAAAGGCAGATCCCCCCCCCCCACCGCTCTGTTTTAGGCAGGGACCCAGTCGACACCTGAACAAGCACCCTCGGCCGCGCATGGTCCGGCTTGGCCTTCAGACTTCCAGCTGTAGCGAAAGCTTCATCCCACTGAACTCAATCAGATGTTTGCCGTTAAGAGCTGCTCGTTCCAAAGCACTATACAAATAGAATATATACTGATGATTGCAGCTGGAAGTCTCAGCAGCAGGACCCAGCAAATGTGGAAAGCAACCTTATTTTTTCCCCTTGTTCATTCTTACAGTCGGATACCCAAGCCATGTCAAGGTTGCATTAAGTTGTCAAAGATACATTGCCACCTGTTGGCAGAAGTGCATTTTGCCGGCAAAACATGATTTCCGCTCTTCTATATATCAATCAAGGAACATTGCAAAGTTGTTTCCCAGGGTCACATGTCTTTAGAGTGATGTACTTACCTGAGATTTAAGGTAACTGTTCTGTTGCCGCATTTGATATAGCCGGGAAGAATACAAATTGATCCGTTTGTGCAGTACCCTTTGCTTCTCCCTGAACACCTACAGGCACGTATTTTAAATATTTGTTTCCTTTGACCATCTTTCTGCCCATCCACTGCTTTTCTCTCCTGCAAAGAAGAAAAGCCACTGCATGTTTTCTCCCATAAGGAAAAAAAAGGAAGCTTTTTGAGGGAATTGTTTTGAGAGAAAAGGAGGGCAAGGGGCCCATCATGAGGAGCAATGCTTGGAAAGTGTGAAGATGGAGAAAATCAAAACAAGGATCTCACTGAGCATCATTCTTGGAAGGCTTCTCCAACCAGCTGCCCTCTGGCTGGACTACAACTCCCAAGATTCTCCAGATGAGAGATCCTGCCAGACCGCAAGCATGAGAAATGCAAGAGTGAGCAGCCGATGGGTCCCCAAGCACTGGAAGACCCTCCGTCCCTCTTCTCTTCATTGCACCCTGCGCTGTTCGGAAGTTTGTTTCTCCGCTGTTCAGAACGGCACCCTCCGTTCCCAGCCTTCTGAGACACGCTGCCTGAAGGGATTTCCGAAGCCCCTGGGAGCAGCGCTAGCGTGGACGCCCGCCTGCAATGCAAGCTAGGGGGGAGGAGAGATGTTTAGTCAGTTTCTTGCTTTGGTTCCCCCTAAGAGCAGGCTGGTGGCAGCAGTCCAAGCGGGTTGCGTTGCCATCTGCAAGGCTGGTTCTCCCGTTGCTGCAGGCAATGGATCCAGGGTGGCGGCAGCAAGAGCTGCCAGGACTGCCCTGGCCTGGTGCAAGCAGGTGGGGTGGAGGATGTGGCCCCACAGCCTGCAAATGCTGGAGAAAGAAACCGCAACAACTGGAGCCCCCTGCGCTTCCTAGCATCGTGTGTTCCTTCACTGGTAGCCAGATCCAGGCCCAGATGTCGGGCTGTGCCATATTTCAGGGCGTGGGTGGCCTGTAGCGGCCAAGAGGCGGAGGCATGAACCAGGAGGTCTGGATCTAGCCCTCAGGCCACCTCAGGCACACCCTCTCTCAGCCCTCGCCCCTGCATCCTACAGAAGGATGGCGCTGTCCCACCTTGCTGGGTTCTCACTCACCGGGCATGCGATGTCTTGACCAGCACTGGGCAGGCAAGGCAGGCGAGTCTTGCCACTGTTTGGACGAGCCCCGAGCAGCCTTGGAGATCTGGGTGGACTCACAAGGAGCTGGTGCGGAGGGTCGAAGCCAGGCGGTGCGGGCTCGGCCGGGGCGAGTTGGGTGGCCAGGCTTAGGGGCACACCATTCCCCCCGCCCCTTGGGGCAAACGCTGCCGCTGAAGGGGAAGCTGGCGTTCCTAGTCTTCCTCCACGGACTTCCCGCAGTCAGAAACAAGATGGAAGAAGCTGGTGGGGGGAACAGGGCAGGGTTATAAATCAAAGACCCCTGGAAACGTTCTGGACATGAGGTAGGGTGGGTCACCTGCAGATACCTGCACCCAACCGCACCTGAGTGCCATATGAGGCCACTTTTGTCCCCAGTAACTCTTGCTAGGTTTTTTATACTTTCCATGGTGCTGGTGGAGAGAAGGAGGCACCCTTGTCTGGCCCCTCGAGATAAAGAGAACCAAACTAGGCGGGAGCAGGGGATTTTATTAGAGAGCACCTACAATCCTTGTAAATAGGTCCCAGGAGGTAAAACACCTAGCGTGTAAAAATTCAGATAACTCTGAGCTGCTTTTAGGAGTTGGATTTTGCTCTGAGTCCAAGGCACGGGTCTTTTCTACCTCCCTTAATCCCCATGCAGAGACCAGAGCTTTCTTCTGCCACATACAGATTGCTGGGTTGGTGACCTCCCCCAGAGATTTAGTTCGTGGATTCACAAATGAGTGGCCTCTTCCAAGCTTTTTAAAAGCATTTGCATGAAACAGAGCATGACCTGGTAAGTCTGCTGACTGGTTTGTGCTAATTTCCCTCTCTGTGGGGGGCTGGAAGCTTTTTCCATCCAGATATACCTGGCCATGTCTGGTTCTGGCTAATTTCAGGGTTGCCTGTGATTTACGAAGGCCATGCATTTCCCCAGCAGTCCTGGCTCATTTTAAAATTCCATCCTGCAGCCTAAATATTCCATCTGCCGGGCTTCTAATACATGCATAAAGGGTGGACATCCCTGCTCATCCTGATGTCCTCCAGATGTTTTGGACTGCAATGCCCATCAGCCCCAACATGCATGGCCAATCATCAGGATCTCTTGGAGGATACCAGGTTGCGGAAGGCTTGGCAGATGGCTTGGCATGGCAAAAGTGGATGGTAAACACTGGCTTTAGAAAGGGCCCAGAGAAGGCAACAAAAATGGTCCAGGGTTTGGAAACACGGCCCTGGGAGGAGAGACTGAGAACTGGGCATGTCTAGCCTTGAGAGGGGAACATGATATCCCTCCATAACTGCCTCAAAGGCCGTCACAAAGAGGGAGGTCAAGATCTCTTCGTGCTGATGCCCAAGTGCAGGACACGGAAGAATCAGTTCAAGCTGCGGCAACCCAGATTCGGGCTGGACCTCAGGAGAAGCTTCCTCACAGTCAGAGCAATGGGACAGTGGGACCGGCTGCCCGGAGAGGTGGGGTCTCTCCCCCACTGGGGACATTCAAGGAGAACCTTGACAACAGTGGGACAGTGTCACGTCGTGTCCTGCAGCAGCAGGGGGTTGGACTTGATGGCCTTCATGGGCCCTTCCCACTCTGCTATTCCATGATTCTATGATTCTGACCGATTTGATAAGACAAGTATATGCAGCTCCACCAATATTAAGATGAGTTTGAAGAAACAGCCTGAAGTCTACAAGGAGAAAGTCCAGAAGGAGAAAGAAGGCGACCTTGTGCGATGGGGGAGGAGTTGGCGTGGCTCAGATCGGCATCGGAGCTGAATATAGCTTCACCGGCTGAGTCTGTGACAGAGCTGTGGTGGATTTATGAGCGCCAGACAGACCGCTGCACTTGCCTCCATTCCTTGCAGGCTGCCCGTGCTGCAAGGGAGCAGAGGGACTGGGTGGCGTTCCTGTGGACTGGTCTTGCTGGAAAAGAGGCGTGAGGAAGAGCGCTCAGGGATCAAGCTTCTGGCAGCGACCAGCGGCGTTCCCAACCGCCTCTCGGCACTGGCCCAAAGTGACGTGAGATGCCAAAAGCACGGGCTGCCGTGGAGAGGGCTGGGGGGGGGCCAAAGGGGGTGCAGGTGTGCCACGCCACGGGGTGAGCAGCGAGGGGCGTGGAAGCCACGCCAGTGTAAACGCAGCTCAATCAGACCCATCCAGGCGACACATGGCAACCCCGCACAGTGGCCCGTTGGGACACGGGAGCTCTCCCTCGGAGGCGGAAGGCAAGGCAGGGATGTCTGTCGAGAACGCGTTGGGAAATACATACTTTATAACGAGAGATCGCCAAATGAGCATCTGTAAGCAGGAGCTTTTCTGCCTCCCCGGTCTCGGAAAGGCTTTTGGTGGGTTTTAAAGAGGAAAGAGAGAAGGACATGGAGTGGAACAGCCCTCCCTCTGGTGAAGGACAGTGCATCTGGGATGCCTGTCCTGGCCCAGGGGCTGCCCTTGGCCATGTCTGCTGTTGCTCCATCTTGCAACATGCTCTGGGTGACTGGGGAGGGGGCTTACGAGCTTTGGTCCCAAGTTCAGCCAAGGGCGCCCCCCTCCCCCAGAACAGGGCTTACCTGGGACGAACTGGCCTTCCAGCAGCCAAGGTCTCTGCGGTCACCGTGCCTCGTAACCTCCTTTCATCACTTCAGCATTACTGGCGTTTCCCCGTGCACTTTCGCCCTCTTTACTTACCAGGATGGCAGCAACATGGCTTTATTGGCTTAAATCACATTTCTGAAATGACTCGAGAAATTTATTTGAAAACTGAAGGGCAGAATACTAAGGAGTTTTCGCGGAAATGAAAGCGAGATTTACAAGTGCAGTCCTAAACAGAGAACCACTGGCTGGCATTGGGTCAAATGGGACAGAAATAGCAATGTAAGGACTGGAGCCAGAGATAGAAAGGAAGGGGAGCATAAAAAGATATTCTCACATTGCGATGTTGTGTGTTAATAATAGTCTGTAGCTGAACCAGAAGTTTGTCCCCTGGAAAAGAAGGATATTTCTTAACTCACTCTTTTTTCTTCTTCCCTTTAATCATTCCAGAATATATTATCACCTCAGGATTGGATAAGCCGTACAGAAAACCCATGCTGATATCATAAGGGCTATGTGGAGGAAAGCAACTGTGTTTTTTACATAAGAAAAAGGGAAAAGGTTTAAGGGGAATATATTGGGGTGGGTAGGTAGCTGTCCAGGTTTATTTACAAGGATGTAAATAACTTTTAAAGAAATTCATGCTTCAAGTGGCTGCTGGAAGGCTAAAGGAAAACTCGGAAGAAAGGAAGGTGTTTTGGGAAGGACTTGACTTTCTCTTCTTAAGAAAAGGATTGACTGGTCCTGCTGCCATCGGTTTGGCTCCCGCTGACAGTCTGTTGAAGGCAAAGCTTTTGTAGATCGGCAGCCCGGCACGGGGCTTCTCTGACGGAGAAGTGGACTTCACTCCTTGGGTGAGGAGTCCTGGAAAGAAAGCCAAGACTCTGGCGAAGGGCAGACACGGCCGCTCTGCACTGCTTCGCGGCAAGGTTCCCTCGGCTACCGTGGGGATCTTTCGTCTCTTGCTGAGAGTGTCTGGCTGGAGCCCCCTAACTGGGCAGATGCACAGCGGGCGTACAAGGCACACGTGTCTGGTGGACCGGGAGCCGTCCCCTTGGCTGTCGTGGCTGAAGGCCGGAGGACGGCCACCGGCCTTGCCCTTGCAGAGTGATGCCACGTGCCTTCACAGCACCTTGTGGGAGCGCTGGAGTGTGTCTGGCCCGTCAGGCCATCGCCCCCCATTTCCAAGGTCTGTGGTGCCAGGGTTCATGCAGCCCGATGGCCTCCATGCTCCAGAAGGAGGTGGCAAGAGGCCCGTTCTTGCAGGGGTCCAGAAACGCATCTTCAGAAATGAAATCTTGCCGCCCGTGCTCAGTGGCCTCGGAATGCAAACTCAGGGACGGGTGAGGAGCCTGGTTTGCGGGTGGGGGGCTGTCAGGCTTCCTCAGCTCCGTTGCCTCGGCTCCGTCTGCTTTCTCTCTTCCCTAATCCTGCTCATGCCAAGAGCTCCTCCGGAGGTCCGGCAGGATCTGCGAGCAAGCTGAGTTCTGCATCCACACATGTGACTTGTGGGCCTTGTGTCCTTTGGGCAAAGAATTCCACACTTTGCAAGCCTTGGACAAAGACTCTGCTAGCGTTCCTGAGTGTTTGCAGACTTGGTCTCAGTTCGGTTTGCTTCCTGGGAAAGGCGGAACATGGGAAAGAAGGCTGGCAAGCACAAGGGAGATGGGTTCTGCCCTGATCATCGCATCCCCGAGATCTGGAAGACTGGAAATCATGTGGGAAGAGGATCACCTAGGAGAAGGCGAGCAATGCCAGGGAACCTTGGAGCGGGCCCTGTGCACGCTGCAACGGATTTTTGCAGCTCCTCCATGCGGTCCCACGAGCTGCACCTTCAACTGATGGCTCCAGCACCACTTGTAGCTTGGTCCTAAGCTACCACGAAACAGTGAAGATCCTCTCAACTTTCTTCTTGCTAGATGCAGAGCAGACAAAGGGGGTTTGAGGTGTTAGCAGGTGTGATGGCAAGGCTTCACACCCTGAGGTTAGACAGTCAGAAGATGGAGTTGCTTTAAGATGAACGCAATGAGTACAGGCATCTTTCAGACTGAGGCGAGTTATGCAGGGACGAAGGAACCGTGGCTGCTCACCCTTAAAAACAGAAAAGAGCAGTTACGGGAATCTCCCCGAAGCGTGAATTGGAATGCACCCGGTAACTTGTGAGGCAGAAAGCAAAATGAATGCCGCGGTGATTATAATTTTCATCCTCTGGGAATTAATATAAGGAGTGGTGCCTTTGGTGGCATGTGGTGCATATCGGTACCTGTAATCAGGTAATGTCCCTGGTAAATAGAGCTATTTCATTCAGTGCAACACTATTGAGCAAAGTTTTATCTTCCGCAGAAAAATAATGGTGATTTAAATCAATGCACAATAATGCCAAGTCACAAAGATATAGTTAGTGTGATCAGAATGATTTGGGAGGTCATATTCCCATTAGCCAGAGCTGTTCTTTTGCGAACACGCTGATTTATAATTTCATTTTCTGTGTTTGTGGCTGCGCGTTTTTCAGAATGGCAAGCATCAATCACAGAAAAGCAGGGCTACTTCCAGCTGGCTAGCGTTCTTGGCGTATTTTTGCAGAAAGATTCTTCCCCCGACCTCTCCACACCCTCCACCCGCACTCCTTTTCCATACTGATTAAAGCCAAGAGGTAAGGAAGCTGCTGCAGTGCAGATGTAAAAATGATAGCAGAGCAAAAATGGGTCAGGCAATCGCTAAATGGTCTCTCCTCCCTTCACAGGCAAGGTCAAACGATGCAACTACAAAGAACTTTGAGGCTGCTGTAAAAACTTGAATCAAGCCTTGCAGAGAAAGGCAGCACCTTCCAGGACAGAAGGAGACTGAAAACAATTGCTCTGCCATTCCTCTCCCTTGATAATCAGGGGAAAGTGGTTGTGAGAACATTTCAGGCTTTCAGGGTGGAGGTGGTTCTCGAGCGTATGCATGCAATATGCGTGTGCACACACGTGCACACACGTTCCAGCACGTTTCTTCCCTTCCACACCTTCCGTGCAAGCACCCAATCAGACACAAGATGGTGTATTTTTTTCCAGTTGCACTGATTCCATAACACAACCAGGTTCATGTCAACATCTTAGAAGGTTTCTTTTTTCAAAAAGCAAACTGTTAAGCTCTGTTTACTATCACTGCATCCTGCTTTAAGACAACATAGGACGTATTGAAGGGCATATATAAATATATCGTACAGCAGTCAAAGAGGGACCTTCAGTAATATGGAATTTCGTGGAAGTCAGGAGCTGAGGAGGAGGGCGAGGATGATCCAGGGACTGGAAAGATCAAAGAACTGGGCATGTTCAGCTCAACGAGAGACGTCTGAGAGGATATAGGATCTTCAAGGACTTGAAAGGTTGTCACAGAGAGGAGGGCTGGGGCCTCTTCTCCATCATCCCAGAGTGCAAGACACGGAATAAGGGGCTCAAGTTCCAGGAAGCTCCAAAACACAATTCAGGGAAGCAGTTGTAGAGACATGAAACAAACACGGTCCCATCCATGGACAAAGACATATTTGCTGGGCCACAATAACTCATTTCCCACTTGAGCTTCTCACTTCAAACTATTTGGAGTTAGCTGTTAAGGTGCGATTTTCCGTGGAGAAAGGCCATGGGGTGCATTTTGCACCTTCCTGGCCACCTGGAGGTGAGGAGAAAGCACAAGATGTCTATCTCGATAGGATCTAGAAGTGGGAGGAGATCAAGTCCTCCAAACCCCCTGTATACACCCACCAACCTGTCTGCACAGCTCAAGTTTCCACACATCTTTGTTTACCTCTTCACAGCTTGCTTGCTGGCAGCTGCCAAGAAAAATCACAGTGCAGAAAAGGTATTTGGTCCATGCCCAAAGGAGAGTGCCTTAGCCGAGGCTTCACGTCTCTGCCGTCGGGCAAACATCTCTACCTTTAAAAAAAACACCCATATTTCTTTGTCTAAAATAACAATTTTTAAAAGGCATGGCCATGAGTTTGGTGACCTTAGGACTAGACCACCGAGGGGTTTGCTGTGTTTGTGCGGGACCTGCCAGACAGTTCCCTGTACCCATCATGAGGCTGGTTGTCTGGCTCGGATAACACAACAGCCCATCGTGGGTACAACATCCCCTACACCAACCCATAAGTTGTTGAGGGAGTTTGTTGCTCACACAACTGGTCTGGGTTCACATGGCACAACCCCCTTCTGAGTGGCTTCTCAAGAAAGGGTCTCATATTGTTCAAACCTAGTCCATGTTTCAGTACTATATATAGTATAGATATGCTATAGGCCATATACTATATACTGAGAAAATTCCAAGATGGCGCCACGTTGTTCCAAAGCACAGATGGCCTGTGGGGAACAAGGGCAAGTTCAGAGCTGGGCGGCTCTGGAGAATCACTCTGGGACATCAGTGCAGGGGGACTTTTAATTGCCTCTATACATTTACCGTGCCCTTTTATTAGGTTATATATAAAGCTGTCAGGTGATGGGGAAAAGGTATTTGGAAATATTACTGACATAAATGGAACACTGAAATATGGATTCTACTCTCACTGCATTTAAAAAGTGGCTTGCTGACACTGCAGCGAGGAGTTCAAAGCCAAGAACCTCTTTCAGCACCGTTCACCTCTCCTCAAAGCTTCCAGGTTGGCGCCCTCCGCCCGAGAGGCATTTCTCAAGCAGGGCTTTAAATGACGGTTTGGAATAATAATCAATCCTTGATAGCAGGAGAGGGTGCCAAATATCTCAGAAACGTACAGGAAACCTACTCTGACTCACGAGTGCACCTAATGAGAAATTCAGAGCCATTTAATGCGGCAGATCAAATTAAACGGAGAAGAACCTGCAATTCCATCTTTCCCTGTTGCTCACTTCCTGGGCACAGCAAAGAAGAAAGACAATCTATTTCCCCTGCTGAAATCCTTTGAAAAAGAAAATGAATCATTTTAAAAAGCCACAGATGTTAGTTTTAAAATTCAACTGAAAATGGTGCCATGGAGTTCTGTTCCTACCTCCATGCACAAAGACTCCCCCGAAAAGCCTCTTACAACACTTGAATATGTGGAATAAAGGATGCATTGGGAATCAGAGAACGCTTCCAGCCCACAACAAGGAACATGGGGCCACGCAGATAGCCCTCGACTCTCCCAATATTGTACCCCACGTCCAAACAGCAAAATCATACCGCAGAAAATATATAAATGAAGAAACGTGACCTTATATCCC